GGGGAGGGCAGCGCGCGGGGCCTGCTAATGCCCCAGGCCCCTTTAAAACTCTTTTTTTTTGCTCCGCTCCCCCCCCCTTTTTTTTGCTCCGCCCCCGTCCCGATATTTTATACTAGTAATCTGGTCACCCTAGGCCCGGTTCAACAGCTGGCGACGATACCTCTGGGGTACCACCAGCTGCCTCCTGATCCCCCGACTCCATTTTCCCTGGGGGAGCCCATTCTCGGTACAGGAACCCCTTTTCCCACAGGATCCTTTTCTGGCCACCTCTCCCCATGGCCTGTACCGCACTGAGGTCGGCCAGGTCCCTTATCTTCCGCAAGGAGGGATCTTTCTGCAACTCGGCCTGGAACTCAGCAGCTGGGACAGGGATGGCCACCTGCTGTCTCTCGCCTGCTGAGTCTGAAGCCGCAGCCTCCCTGGGTGTTCCCTTCCCACCAGGTTAGGGTCCTGCGCCTCGGGCAAGGCACCCTCCCCAAGGTTTATTATATTTTGTAAACATTCTTTTATCACAGGCATTTACTCACTGAAAAGGCACAGTGCCCCTCGCCAGCTCTGACTGCGGGTCACAACCAGGGCACCCTGGGGGTTGCTTGGCCAGTCCTCCAGGTCCCCCCCATCAACACCTCAGTGGGCAAATACGGGTGTACTCCCACATCCCTGGGGCCCTCCTTGGCCCCCCACTTCAGGTGTACCCTCGCCACAGGCACCTTGAATGGGGTCCCACCCACCCCCGTCAGGGTCAGGTAGGTGTCAGGCACCATCCGATCTGGGGCCACTACCTCGGGCCGGGCCAGCGTCACCTCTGCGCCCATATCCTAGTATCCATTGACCTACCTCCCATCCACCTCCAGGGGAACAAGGTACTCTCTCTCTGGAGGGACAGCCCACCGTATAAACCAAAAACCCTAGTTAATGAAGGGGTTGTTTAAACCAAGAAGTTTTGAATGTAGTTTGGGCTATAGGTTTTAAGGGGAATAAAGGGTATAAGATAGAACCGGCAAGGGACCCGCGCTCCCTCCTGCTCCCCTTCCAACTCCCTTGTGAAACTCCCTGTTAGCAGCCCCTGTTCGCAAAAGCTCGAACAGGGGCTGCTAACAAGGTAGAAGAAGGTAGAAGAACCTGTGCCTCTAATGTAGCTTGGGTGAATGAACCTCTGCTGCTTCTGCAGGGAAGAAGAATGGGGCAAAAGGCTTGTTCCCACCAGGGCCGGTGCAACCACTAGGCGGCCGCCTAGGGTGCCAAGTGGTTGGGGGCGCCAAAAAGCAGTGCCCCCCCCAAATTTTTAAACAGCGGAGCACCAGGCTGCCGCTGCTCCCTGCCTCCCAGTTCCAGAGGGGCCGTCAGCAGCATGGCTAGTCACTCCCCCTACAACAACCCAAGGCACAGACACCCCCCTGCCTGCCAACCCCTTGCAACAACCCCTGCCTGCCCACTCCTCCCTTGTGCCACTCCCTCCCTCCCACTGCACCCCCTGCAACAACCCTAGGCACAGACACTCTCCCTCCTGCCCACTCCTCCCTTGTGCCACTCCCTCCCTGCCACTGCACCCCCTGCAACAACCCCGGGCACAGACACCCCCACGCCTGCCAGCCCCTTTCAACAATCCCCTCCTGCCCACTCTTCCCTTGTGCCACTCCCTCCCTGCCACTGCACCCCCTGCAACGAGCCCCTTTTGCCTCTGTGCAATCTCTTCCCTGCCACTACACCCACGCCCCCTCCACATCTTGGCCACCTCCACCCCCTGCAACAATCCCGTGCACCCCCCTCTCTGCCACCTTCACCCCCTGGAAGAGCCCCCATATGACCCCCCTCTTTGCAGCCCTGCACTTTGTGAACATCTGGGCCCCTGGGGGGAACTTGGCCATAGGAAGGTGGGGGCTGGACATCGGAGCGGGGGGCGCAAGGTGGAAGTTCCTTGCACCGGCCCTGGTTCCCACCAGCCCCTTTCTGCAGCAGGGGACAATCTGGCTTTGGTTTTATACTTTTAATTCAAAAATAAAACTGTTTGATGTTACTACATGAGTCACTCTTCTTCCCAAGCACCCTGAAATGGTGGCTGTGTACATTATAACTATCTTCTTTATAGCCCTGCCCACCCCCAGTGCTATGGGCCTGATCAAACAGTAAATACATGGCAGTATTATTCCAGTAACCATTTGGTGATAGGAGAAGACAGTTGCTATTTTCATACAGTTTTAGAAAAAGGAAATAAGATGACATGTCAGAGAGAAAATGCATCTTCCCAACAGAATATAAAGCTCAGTTGACTGATCTACCCTTAAAAGTTTTGCTGGCATAGCAAAGTCAGTTAGGAATATGAAAAAAATATCATCCCTTCCCACCACCCCCTCCCCACACACCTGATACAGCTATGCCAGAAACAGCCCTAGTGTAGACATAGTTATACCAGCCAAAAAAATCCTTTTGGAAGCATAGGTTATTTGGGGGAGCGA